ATACTGTCCATAAAGACAAAAGGTATTTATGACCAACTTTAGAGATTTATTGTTGGAATATCAATAAGGAAAGAATGTAGCATGTCAGTGACCAAATGACCATTACTAGGGGCATAATGGGAATCAAGGCTATTAAATTATTATATTAAATGCTGCTACTCATCATCTAAACTGAGTTCTCTTTGAAATAGCTAAGACACTAGCATCTGATAATTTAATGTAGTAACTAGAATTGTATCTTCAAAGAAAGCAGTTTCAAAATTTTCATCTTTTCTCTAAAGGACTACCTTATTTCTACATAAATGCTTAATATTCTTTCATTGCTTTTTTCTCAACAAATGTTATAGTTTCATCTAAAATATTCCCCAAAAGGTTCATTAGATCATGGAGCTGATGGATTAATCCATTGATAAATTCATAGTTCAGTGTGCTTATATTAACAGATGGGGCCAGGAAATAGAAATGGCTCGTTGGAGGTGTGATTTGAAAGGTACTGTGTATCGCTTTTCTGGCTCTTCTCCTGTGTTGTGATTTCTTGCTGCCATGAGGTTCATACCTTTCCTCTGCCATGAACTTCTGATATGATGTTTCTGCCATGAGGCCAGCCAATTGTGGGCTGAAATCTGTGAAACTGTGAGTCCAAACAAACCTTTCCTCCTTTGAGTATATTAAGTATTTTGTCCTCTCAATAAAAAACTGACTGCTGCTTTGAGAAATAAAAGTTTGTCAACAGTTAATATGATTCCACTATAGAAGAGCAGAGTAAGCTAACAAGTGGTCCTTTTTATAGAAAAGTATAAAACGAGCGCAGAATGCAGAGGAACAGATGCACAAAGTTAGGTGTATGTTTTATAATTTCTGGTGAGATTGCAATTACAATTAATCACAGTTATAATTGTAATTATAATTAACTAATATGTACTATAAGGAGATATAGCCCCAAATAAATAAAAATGCAAGAAATAAATAAAAACAAGCATACAAAATGATAAAATAGTGGACATAAATCATACTCTGCCATAAGTATACTAAATACGAATGTACTAAAAACACCAATTAAAAGTTAAGAAAAGACCCAAATCATATTGACAGATATGAAATAAAAAAGGCAAATACATACCATACATATACAATCAAAACAAATTTGGAATTAATATTAGACAAAATAGACTTCAGTATGAGGAAAAACACATTATTAGTATCTTAAAGGAAAAAATGGGCATCATTAAAACCCCTAAATGTTAAAATGGATCAATTCCTGGGCCAGGGATTTTGCTCAGTGGTGCTATGCCTACCTTGTAAGCACAAGGTCCTGAGTTTGATTCCTGGTTAAAAAAAAAAAAAAAAAAGGATAAAAT